CAATTACTTAAAACTCACTATAAAGATTCTAATAACTACAAAAAAGAGTGTATTTAGAATCTTCTAAAGTTTTAATAAGTAGTTTAGTGCATTTAAACCTCTTTTGCACATTGTGATGATACTTTTTAAAATAGTATCAGCTTTTCTTTCTGTAACACTGTGAACTCTTGTATTTTTAGCTTTCCAAACAAATAAGATATATGACCACGGGCCTAACAATTCGTAAGGCAATCGCATCAAATTTTTACTTCTGTAAAAACTGTTTAGTCTAGTAAAATTTGTCATTCCAAAAACCCATTTGTCAGTTAATGCTACAAAAGAGTATAACTTGTTGCCACATAGATTTTGTTACAGGACATGCAAAGAAAATGTGATCTCTATCTTTAATTGTAAAATTACATATATCACATTTGGTATCAATCGCACTTCCCATCTTAGCTTGCCTCCATTTAGTAGTTAATCTATCGAGGATAGCCAACCAACAAATTTTAACATAACCAACAATTACCTTGTGTTTTTCCCATCATATTTCTTAAACTGAATAACACATTTAAATAAGTTTAATTTACACTTAGAATTAAATCATCCATATTGTAAAATCTGATAACTCATGCCTTTTGGGGATTGTTCAAAATGCCTTAAGAATAAAGTTTATGAATTACCTTTGTAATGGACTTAACTAGATGAATTTTGAGATCATCAATTTTTTTTTCATAATCAATCCCTTTATCAATAATTGGGATATATTGAATCGTTGAATGCAAAACCTTTTTTTGGTTTTCTCTCGCTTATCTTTATCCCACAAGGGAGATAGGACTAATCTTGTTCAAAATGAAAATGACAAGATTAATCCTTCTCAATAAATATGACTTTAGGATTCGAAATCTATACATTGACATAAAAAAATTTTCGAGACAAACTCGTTTACTATTGAACCAACAACTTATTGATTGAAATGCAAAAAAAAAAAAAAAAAGCCTACTACAACATTGTTTCATTTTAAATGTCTTTCTTTCATTTGAAAAAAAAAGAAAAAAGATACCATCAGATCATGCAAACTAATTAGAATCATCTAAATTAAACAAATAACCTACTTATCTTATATAGTACTATCAATGGAAATTGAAATTTACAAAAAAAATAATTTGTTGATGTACAAACCACTACAAGAAAACAGAAAAATAGCTATCGAATAGTATCTATTTGATTTAGCAATTGAATAAAGACAATTTGAAGATGATTTATTAACAACGAATGATATTCGCTCGTTATTTATGGTGCTAAAATCTTCTCGAATGTTTTAGAGATGGGTTGGCGATGGAATTGTTGTAGAAATCAACGATGAATTACAATTTCATTGCTATTTTTGCTGTTTTTCTTTAATGATGGAATATTCATTGCCAAAGTACTAAATTCATTGCTAAATTAAAAAAAAAATGAGCAAGCATTTTGAAATAAAAAAATCCTTCCATTTGATGATGGAATAGCAATGAAAACTTAATTTTTGTCGCTAAATAGCAACTAATCAACAACGAAAACATTTTTGTCACTATTTTTGTCACTAGTTATAAAAATAAGCAGACCTTCTAAAATTAAATGTCCACCCATTTTATGAAAGATTAGTGACAAACACTTATGCTCATTGATAAATAGCAATAGACAAACGATGATATTGCGTTTGTCACCGGTTTGAATCCCTAATTAAACCTCTTTTTTCCTTCTTCTTCCCCGATTTTCTTTTTCTTTCAGTTTCTCCTCCCCAATCGTCGACTTTTCCCCCACCCAAAACAATCGAAAAACTACACTCCTTCACTCCCCATCAATCCACACCTATCGCAAACTCTTTTTTTCCCTAAAAATCCATGTTTTTCCTTCCTTCCTCTCCTTCTCTTCAAGTTCGAATCGAGTAAGCTCTCTCTCTCTCTCTCTCTCTCCTCTCTCTCCCCTTAAAAATTAGCTAGTTATTTTCATAATTGTTAGGTTAATTTTAAATTTAATTGGTTGATTTATAATTGTACAGTTTTAATTATTAATTTGTTGATTAATTTGTTAAATTATTATTTTTTGTTAATTGTTAGCTGAATTTATTAATTAATTATTAGTTTGATATAGGTTTAATTAATTAATTAGATTAATTTTGATTAATTGATTGATTTGATTTAGGTTAAATTTGAGTAATTGTTAATTAGTTGATAATTAGTTATTTTTTGTTAATTGTTAGGTTAAGTTGTTGATTTTGATTAATTTTGTATAGTTTTAATAGTTAATTTATTAATTGATTTGTTAAATTCTATTTTTTAAATTAATTTTTAGGTTAATTTATTAATTAATTGTTAGCTTAATTTATGTTTAATTAATTAATTAGGTTAATTTTGATTAATTAGTTGATTTTTAATTTTATTTATATTGAGAATTGTTAATTACTTGTTAGTTAAATATAATTAGGTTTGAATTAGGGTTAATTTGATTTAGGTTTAAATTTAATTAGGTTTGAATTAGAATTAATTAGGTTAATTTGATTTAGGTTTAATTAATTAATTAGGTTAAAATATGATTAATTGGTTGATTTTTAATTGTTATTCATTTGTTGTATTTATTAAACTATTTCAGATATTATTCTAGAGTTATACCTCATGGATTGGCAAATTCGATCGTGGTGTCGTAGGCATGGCTCTAATGACGATAGTGTGTGGCATTGATATTGGCGGTGTTCATGACCATGCCATTGATAATGATGTTGTATATGGACATGGTACTGCTAGTGCAAGTGTTCAAGGCCATAGACTTGATAGTGGTGTCGGAATGTCAACATCCCTCCCGATAGTGCCCTCATTAGTAATGCCTCCGTCGATAATGGCCCCCATTACGGATATCCCCATGATGGTTTCCTCAACTTCGGAAAACTCTACTCGGATTTGATTCTTGATGGACCATTCGGGTCTTGAATAGCTGGTAAGTAATATGCTTTACATATGATAATTATTTTATATTTCATTATTATATTAGAATCATTAATTCACTTATTTATTTGTTTTGTTCAATAGTTTGGTTCCATTATGTAAATACTTTACAAAAATCATCATAATTTTCAAGGAGTTGTTAGATTACACTAGCTCTACATGGAAGTCTCGTCTCCATGGACACGAAAAACTTCTACTTTAATGAGTTTAAGATAATATTTTAATTATTTATTTATATTTTATTTAAAGTATTAATTTAAAATTAAATGCACTAATATTATTTTTTTCTTCATGTAGAAATATTTTTATAGGATGCGATCATCAACTAGCTGATTAAGGATGTGTGGAAGAGTATGATATGGAGGTGGTACGACGACATGCCGAACAAGCTGAAAAACAAGAATGTCAAACCCACGTATGTTAAACGAGCAAATGTGGAAAGCATGGCATCGGTATTGGGCCACACCCGAGTTTCAAGTCGGATCTCGGCAGGCGTCTCGAAGCCGAATGTTGGAGACAGGTGGTGTCGGTGTTAGCCCATCCAAGCATATTGGGAGGGAGTCCATCTCTTTGATTGAGCACACCGAACAGCTTGGTAAATTCTACTATCCATTGTGTTATAAATTAATTTTTGTATTTATTACATCTTATATTATTTTGCTTATTTTTTTCAACATATGTAGTAAACTAGGTCATAACTCAAATCCTTACGAGTTATTCGTCGACAAATCGTCCTAGACAATAATGGTAAGAATTTTTTATTTTTATAAATATACATCTATCAATGTAACTAAAAAATATATTTATAATTTAATATTATAATTATTTTAATGATGCAAGAGCGCATGCAATTAATGTAAGAAGTAGTTGCCAAAGAGTAGCAAGAGGGTGATTCATTGTCTTTAAATATCGACATATCCAAAATATATTTGGATGTTGTAGGAAGGGAGAATAAGTAAAGAGTGTATGATCTCAAATTGTAAGTGTCCCACTATTACTCTCATTCTACCGCCATCTCCTCCTTTGTAACTTCTCGATATTCGATGGTAATATGCAAGAAGTTTTTGCCCGATACGAAGCTAGGATCAAAGGGATGAAAATTACCATCTAGGAATAGGTCAATCAATTCAGCACTCTACGGAGTAAGATGCGAACGGGGATAAGGTTATTACATGACCTACAACGGATTCACGTCTCTCCTCTTAACCCCCTTACAACCCAAGAGTCGATCGTTCTTTTAAATACACAATAAGTGAAAGATAATACAGGAGATGATGAGTGATAGGTTTCTTGTTTTTTTAAGGTTTTAATATTTTCATACATTTTAATACGTTTACATATTTATTTGATTTCAATTTATATTATTTTAATTTTATTAAATAATATATTGTATTTTAATAAGGTGTTATTTTTAGTTGTTTGTTACTATCATTAACATTAAATGGTTATTAATTTATATTAAAAAATAAAAAATAATTTTTTTCATTTAGCGACAAATTAACTATTGAATTTGCAACAAAAATTAAACCACTCTATGACATACACTTATACGGTCACTAAATAGTGATGGATTTAGTGATAGATTTGTAAGAAACTTTAGCAAGAATAACTTAGCGATGAAAATAATGAATTATGATTTTGCAACAAATATAAGACCAGAGAGACGATTGTTTACTATGCTTTAGTGACAAATTTTTTTTTCATCACTAAGAGAATAATGACTATGATTTTTGCTATAGAAAGTGTGTTGTCGCAAATCCATTGCTAAGGATAAATAACGATGAATTTTTACTATATGTATAGCGATAAAAAAATCCATCGTTGTAGTGAATTGACTTGAGGATATTTTTACTATTAAACCAAAAATTTATCACAACATGCTATAGCAAATTCTTGAATCTCAGCCATAGCTTATCACCTTGTCTATATAAAGTCCCACAACTCCTGCATGGTTGAAAACAATACCCAGTACTCTATCTCTTAATTGCATCGTTTGAGTTTTCTGTCTTCCTTTCCCTCAACACAGCGTCCCCTCAATCCATGGAAATTTTTGAAAATTTTGAAGAGTACCAAAATTACTGGGAGACCAACAAGTTTTTGAATGAAGAGCTTAATTATAGGTAACCCTCCTTATAAATTTGCTTTTGATGACCAAACTTCTATTTTATTACGTAATTTCTGCTGCTTAAACATGTCCAAAGTTTTTCACTTAAGAAAGTATTTAATTTTGAGACAGCTGGGCAACGGAGGATCTACAATTTAATCTGGGGTACCATGATTCGAGCTTGCCGGATGGAGCTGCTTCAAGTACAATAGCCCCTAAAGCTGTTGTTTCAGAGAGGAACAAGAGGAAGAAGCTCAATGACAAGCTCTTAGCACTTAGAGAAGCAGTTCCCAAAATCAGCAGAGTAACCCCATTAATTAATACATGTCATAGATGCAAAATTTATTAATTAATAATGCTAATCTTTATCATTTTGTTTGTTGGGTTTCAATTAATTTTCATTTTTTGGGTTGACCAAATTTAGTTGGATAAGGCTTCCATAATCAAAGATGCTATTGAGTACATCCAAGATTTGCAAGAACAAGAGAGGAGACTTCAAGCTGAGATAATGGAACTTGAATCCGAGAGATTGAAGAACAATCCTGATTTTGAGCAAGAGATACCAGTCTTGTCAAGATCAAAGAAAACAAAACATGACCAAACTTATGATCATAGATTGGCCAGAAGTTGTCCTGTTGAAGTTCATGAAGTAGGTTACTCTCTGCATGCATGCTCTTGGCGTGCCTGAGGCTCTCAATTCTTACATTATGTTGCTTATGGTATTTATGCTTGGTGATGTTTTTTTCAGCTAAATGTCACATCCATGGGAGAGAAGATTCTGTTCGTTAGCTTGACATGTAATAAAACAACAAACACAATGATTAGGCTTTCTGAAGTTTTTGAATCTTTGAATCTGAAAATTGTCACAGTAAATGTCACAGCTCTCTCAGATATGGTCAAGAAGACAGTCTTGATAGAGGTCAGCCTCTTTTCTTCTTCCTCATGAATCCTCTCCATCATTTCAATTTTGATAGAATTTGTTCCATAAAAGATTTCAACTTTAACTCTCGAAACTTGTGTCTTGCAGGTAGATGAAGAAAAGAAAGAGCCTGTGAAGAAAAAAATTGAAAGAGCTGTTTTAGCTCTTAGATCCACATCTAGTCCTATGTAACTAATGGGAAATTTCTATACATGTACAATTTCTCTGTGGCCATCATACCTTGGGAAATAAAATCCAAATAATTAGTCCAATGAGGTGGAAGTCCAAGAAATAAAAAAAAAAAAGCTTTATATAACCGGTTTGCAATTGTAATTGAGATTGTGCAATTACTGTTTATTTTTAGTCTATATATATATATATATATGTCAGCTTTTATGTACCAAGATTAAGTTTATTTTTATTAGCTGATAAAAAAAAAAAAGCAATCGAAATTAGGAGATTCGTGAAAATTTTACTTTTCATAAATTGATTTAACGGGTATTGAATGATGGTAACTAATGAAATGGCATATTTTCTTGACCATCAGACCAACCTACGTAAGTTTGTAATTAGGGTCACCTTTATAATATATATGACTCTAAGTAAAATAATATTTTAAAGACTTTTTTATAAAATAAATAAATATTAAACATTATTTAAATTTTATTTTTCTTGCTTTCCGAGATACAAAATCTCTAATTAAATTTTTGTATTCAAGTTTACAAAGTAAATCTTTTTCAATTGGTAATATAATCAAATTACTTAATCTTTCTTGTGATATAGTTGAACGTAAATAAGATTTTATTAATTTTAATTTTAAAAAACTTCTTTTAGCCGAAGCTACGATAATGAGAGATAGTCAATAGTATTCTATATGCTATCCATGCATTTGGAAAAGAATTTACCTTTTTTATAAAATTTAGTATGGAAAGTAGTGTTTTCATTTCCATAATTATAATTTCTTTTAAAACTTTTAATTCTGAAAATAAATCTAAACCATCAATATCGAAACATATCATGCTTTAGAAAGTTTTCAAGATTTAAACAATTTTTGTTTTAAAATATCATCATCAAGTGATTTTAATTTTTCTACACTATAAAGAAAACCAAAATTATCTTTATATATTTTAAATTGGTCAAACCTATTTTGAAGAGAGGAAATCGCATGATCAACTAAATATGTAAAATAATTAATTCTAAAAGATTCTTCAACGGATAATTTCATATCTTCATTTTCAATCTCATCAAATTGTTTCTTTCTTCTTATTGCACGCTTTTCACGAAATTTTAGTTCTAAATTCATTTGCTCTACAATTTCCTTAGCCAAGATCATAGAAGATGTAAACCCATTTTCTTTATAGCTTTTAAAAAAAGAAATAAGACCTTTCAAGTGGTCTATTCCAAGAGCAATATCCATATCTTTAGATTGTAAATATTTACTAACCGTATTAACGAGCAAACAACATATCATACTAAATAATCAAGTATATTGTTGTCTTCAAATTTTTCTTCACAATTTTCAACTATATTTTCATTTAAATCTTTATCTTGTTCTTCTAGTATTTGGAGTTTAATATTAGTAACAAATCTATCAAGTGCACCTTTATAGGATTGAATTAGTTCTTCTACGTTTCTTTTTTTCTTACATTTTTCATATCTAAATTCATACTTTCTAGTAGACATTTTATTCAAATAATAAAATTAAAATATAATTATAAAAAGAGTAAGAAACTTTGGCACTCGATTATATTTTCTTGTCACACCTAATCAAGTAAACCCGGAGAGAATCACTCGAAAAAATAAAAAGAAATTTGAGAAAAAATAAAATATTATATGATTTATATACGTAATTTTATTTGCATAAATTACAAAATTACCTTCGATTCTTACGCCAAGCTAATTAGAAAAATGTTTTATAAAAGACCCCCGATTGTTTGGAGAAAGAAAGGAATATAATAACAAAATTGGAATATCTAAAAATTATTTTACTCACAAATATTTTTCCGAAACTTTTCCGTAAGTCAAAGTGTCTTACTAAAATAAAAATTGAAAGTTTTTATAAATAAAAGGTAATTGAAAAGACATTTAGAAAAGATAGAATTTTTAACGTTGAAATAATACCATCTCTCGAATAATGAGAGCCTTTCAATATAGAAACTTTAGTAACTATAACCTCGTTAGTTGAGAGAAGAATGAGGTCTCATTCTAAGTAGAGGTTGCACCTTTTAATTTATCTCATTCTTTATCATTGCAGATTTAAGATAAAATTTTAATTGAGGGCTCTAGTTATAGCCTTAATGGACTATGCCTTGAGTAAGTATTGTCTGTTCCTCTTATGGTAACCTAGGAAACTGACCTATTATATGCTTAATCGCCACGAATTTCATAATGTTCGTAAATTGTAATGTTTCTATTCTCCATGTGTACAAAAAGATACTTGGTCTAATCAAAGCACATTTTCTTTCGAAAACCAGAGGAATTCAATTTTTTTTTAGTAAAAGCAGACATTATTAGGATAGAAAAATTCATTTTTTTTAGTGAAAGAAAACAATATTAGAAAAGTTTCAGTCTTTTTGTTTAGTCAAGAAAGTTCTTTCAGATTTTTTTAGTGAAAGAAAACAATGTCAGAGAAGTTTCAGTCTTTTTTTGTTTAGTCAAGAAAGTTCTTTCAGGTTTCCATGCTCAAACAACAACGTAAATAAGACCACACCGTCCATGACCAACTGTTGAAAAATAAATGATGTTGTGGGTTACATTCCTTCTCTCATTTATTGGGCAAAACCAATTGCCGAAGAATACATTTACCGTCCAATATTAAAAAAAAAAAAAAACTTTAATGCAAAAGCCGAGTAAATTATAAACTAGTTTTTCTAGTTTTGCAAACCAAATTAAATGTTTAAAAACTAATTAATTAATCCATTGATTATTGTTATTATAGTTAATTTAATATTATTTTATTTCAAAAAATTTTTTCTATTCTTATAATATTCTCATTTTTTAAACTTATTTTTCTCTATTTATCAAAAAAACAAAAAACAAAAAAATGATAAATAATTAAAAAAGTTACAAATTGATTTAAAAATATAATAAATAATTAGTTAGCTATGTAAACTAGAAAAACTATTTAATTCTTTTTATAAGTGAAGAATCCCACATTATTTAATATAAATTTTTTTAGATATTTATATACCAAGATGGATTATATATGTATATTATTATATATATTTATATATCCTTATTCCAAAAAGAAAATATCTTACTTTTTTTTTATCTCAAAATGACTGTTTTGTCAAAATATTAAATATTAAAAAGAAAATATCTTACTTTATGAATTAAAAAAAGGTGGTAATTAGTCATGATAACATGCATGGTGGACATTGAAGAACTCTTAATTTCATTATTACAATTTTTTTAGGAAGAAGGCTTGATAAGATATCGTTGGCCATCCTTACAGCTAGCAGCTGTATAGTGAAGTAAATTCTCTCTGACGATAGACCCACCAACAGATGAGGGACACTGTCCTACGTTTGACTGTCCGGCATTGAAGAAGCATCAGCTTTTTACAACACTGAAGTCTTTGGGCCACATGTTTCCAAGAAATACAACAACTAACCATCTGTGGACAAGAGTGAATCCAACAAGTTACAAGGCAAGTCAATAACATAAATTTTCTTTTCGAAGAAGAAAATGAAAGTGAATTTCATAAATCACGTCCGCAGTACATCATTATACTTTAGATAAAGGTATTTCATAACATCACAACAAAAACATAAACAACACAAAGTGTGGTAAATATTCGGTTTTTTTTTATATAATTAATGTGTGGGTACAATTTTCTAATAATTTTTTTTTCAGATAACGACATCTTATATTAAAAATAAAATTAATTATATTCCTGACAATTTATAAATTTTAATTTTTCTGGATAATTACGACTTGAAATAAATTATTTACAAAGAGTTAGTGATCCTCTAGTTCTTTCCTTTGTGAGAATATTTGAAGACGCAGATTTTGATAAATTAAAGATTGTGTGTTTTGTAAGAACACGTGAAGACTTGACGTGTTTCTGCAAAATGTGATTTGAAGATTTGAAGACAGAGAAGATAGACGTGTTTCTGCAAAGAATTAGTGATCTTCTTTTGGATAAATTTTGTAATACACTCGGAAGTAACTCAGTGACGTATACGATAGTTACTTTATGGATTCACTTTAAGGAGAGAGATAGACACATAAAAAAGATAAAAATTACATCTATACTCATAAAAAACGATAAGAAGATTTTTACGTCCGTTTAAATTTTTTTATTCTCTCTCTTTTGTTTTTCTCTTTTTTTTATGTGTCTATCTCTCTTCTCAAAGTGAATCCATAAAATAACTACTATATATGACACTAGTTAATCCTTATATATTATAAAATTTCTCCTCCTTTTGTAGCTCCTTTAGGTTTTAGGGTAAAGCTTTCTATTTATAGATAAGAGGTTTTTTATAACTTCATATCATAGTATTGATAATGATATCCTGCAAACACATGTTACGTGAAGTTTGTAAACACCGATCAAATTTTGACATATAATAAAATTAATATTTTAAAATTCCATATGCATACTATGTCATATAATGTATTTATGATTGTACACCATATGTATATTATTTACCGAATAATTAATTATTTTAATTAATATGAATTTTTTTGAAAGATAAATTATAAAAATGAATTTATTGGTCTTTACTAAATGGTCGTTTACCTTTTAAAAATAACTTATTATTACTTTTATGCCCTTAAAAATATAGCGACACAGAAGCATTATTTATCCATATAACAAAAATAAATAAACAAAACAAAAGAAAAACCTCATCCACTTTATTTTCTCTTTTAGACTTCAGTCCAAAAATCAACAACAACGATTTCTCCTAAAGAAAAAGGAAAAAAAAAATCTAAGAACAATTTGTGCATGAAATTATATATATATATTGTAGCCATCTATTCCTTGTGCATCTTTCATTGTTTTTGAACTAGCTAATCTAAGCAAAACTAACACTTTCTTTTATATCTTCATTGAAGAGGATAATCCAGTTGGCTTGTTATAAATTCGGGGTCCTTGAATTTGACACTTATGGCAATTAAGGACAAAATATATCACATTTTTGGGAAAAGTGAAAAACAGAGAAGACCTTTACATAATATTGGCCAGT